TAGAAAAAAATTGACATTTTTGGAAAAAAAGTTACAAAAATTAATTTTTTTTAAAAAGATTAAAATTATTAAAAAATTAGATCTTTGAGAAATTTGAATTTTGTAGAAATACATTGACATTTTTGAAAAAATAAGGTTACCGTACCAAAAATTATTTTTTTTTTAAAAAGATTAAAATTATTTAAAAAATCGATTCTTGAGAAATTTTGAATTTTTGTAGAAATATTGACATTTTTGGAAAAAAAGACTTACCGTACCAAAAAAAAATTTTTTTTAAAAGATTAAAATTATTAAAAAATTAGATTTTTGAATTTTTGTAGAAAAAATGACATTTTTGAAAAAAAAAGACTTACCGTACCAAAAATTAATTTTTTAAAAAGATTAAAATTATTAAAAAATTAGATTTTTGAGAAATTTTGAATTTTTGTAGAAAAAAATTGACATTTTTGTAAAAAAAGGCTTACCGTACAAAAATTTTTTTTTTTTTTTAAAGATTTATATTATTAAAAAATTAGATTTTTGAGAAATTTTGAATTTTGAAATTGACATTTTTAGTGAAAAAAAGACTTTGAAAAAATGTTTTCTTTATTTTGGATATTTTAAACTTTTTTCCAAGGCAATCGCACTGGTATAGCTGTGATCATCCGATTTGTATGATCCAAAAAACATTCAGTTCGTAATGACGGGGAAAAGTGGTTATTAGTTTTTGGCAAAAGTAGGCCCAGCGGTTTCGGAGATACAGAGCTAAATGTTTAAAAAAAATGGCAGTTTTTGAGAGAACTAAGCGATCGATTTAAATGATTCAAAGAACTTTCTGCTTGTCTTAACAAAATAATTGATTTTGGAAAAAAAAATTGTTGCTAATTTTTTTTCCAAAAAATATATTTGTAATTTTGGATTAAAAATTCAAAAAATTACATGGGCTAAGCACAATCTAAGCGCCACTCTGGTACAAATGTTTATCCAAGTGCGTTTAGACTGTTTATGTACTGGAGCAATGTCCTGTACAATTTTGTGAAAAAACTATTGAAAAATGTGAAAATGCCGCCAAGCTAAGCACAGTATAAGTGAAAATGTCGCACAGAATTATTTGCAAATGCGTTTAGACTGTGACTATGCGGGAGCACTTTTCAATTTTGTGCAAATTAGGCAACTATTTTTTTTGAAATGAAATGACGATTGATTGTTAATGTCCTGGAGATAATTTGAGTTATGATTTATGATTTACATTTGATTTGCTCAGATACAACAAGATAGCAAAAATAATGAAAGTTACAGTATTTGTATGATATATTTGAAAACGTTTAAAATTTCTCGAATTTTTAATTACGGTACGAGAAGTTCCAGCAATTTGCCTTAAGGCACGATGCCATACACCACTGGTTTATTTTTGGATTGATATGAGTTTTTTATACCAAAAGGTTTGACAAAGATTGTCAAACGGATTCAAATTTCAATCAGGCACGTGGGCCGTCGCAACGCGAGGCTGGGTATGCTAGTATATATACATATATATATATATATATATATATATATATATGTATAATTCTTTACTTTCTATTTAGGAAAGTGCATAGCCAGTCAATCAGGATCAACTTTCTTCAGTATAAGTGCCTCCAGCTTGACCTCCAAATGGGTAGGAGATGGTGAGAAATGGTCCGAGCATTATTCGCAGTTGCAAATGTACATCAACCAGCTGTAAGTACTAAGATCTTTTATAATTTTCAATTTTTCATAATAAATCAAATTATTACAACTAGTTCATGTACTATTTCACCTTTAGGTAGTTTTCATAGACGAAATAGATTCCCTCCTATCCCAGCGCTCCGACACAGAGCACGAGAGCTCCCGCAGAATCAAAACCGAATTCCTGGTTCAGTTAGACGGCGCAGGGACTGGTGAAAGTGATAGGATATTAGTCATAGGTGCCACTAATAGGCCCCAAGAACTAGACGAAGCTGCTAGACGAAGATTGGTTAAACGGCTTTATATTCCTTTACCAGATAAACCAGTAAGGCACCAATTAACATATAATAAAAAAAATATTGTATCCCATTGTTTCCTTCTAATAAGGCAAGAAATCAAATGGTCAGTCGCCTCATGCAATCAGAAAATCATTCTTTGACTGATGAAGAAATTAACAGCATATCTGATCTAACTGACGGTTACTCTGGTTCGGATATGAAGAATCTTTGCCAGGAAGCTGCTCTCGGTCCAATAAGATCTTTAGATTTTCGAGCTATTCAGAATATCAAGACGAATGAGGTGAGCAAAGAAAATCTTTGAGACAAACAAATAAGAGTTAGTGAACCATGAGTATTCTCATTACCATAAAAATAAAACATTTGACCAAGAATACCTATTAAACTTATAATAGCCATTTATTATGTTCTAAGGACAACCATGTGCTTACGAAAATGTACAATTAATGTTTCACTGAAACTTTCATAATGCTAATACTGTATGCAACTTGCCTTGAGCAAAATGCCACTTACACTTAGTTTTCTTTACAGGTTCGTCCAATAACATTCCAAGATTTTGAGACAGCTTTGAAACGAGTTCGAGCTAGTGTATCAGACATGGACTTAGACCAATACGTGAAGTGGAATAATTTATACGGTTCTGGATAAATAATTCTGTCTGAAATCATAAACACCAAACAAAATGTTACATAATACAATTTATAAATAAAAATAGTTGTTTATTAAATAATTTATTATTTCATTTTTGATATGCACATGTTCAATCGTAATCTTATAATAATAAATGATTTCAAAGGAATGGATAAAGTTGCATAAAATACTATGTATATCACGAGATCTAATACTAAAATATTTGTTTAAGGGTTCTGCACCCGTAATTAAATCCTATTATTATTTTATAATACCAGCAGATACAAATATAAGGCTTAACTTAATATAAGCTCTCTTATTAAAAACTACAGTTGCTCCCTTGTTTCGTTTATATTTAATTTTATATAGATAAGTCTCAAAGGCCTTTGGAGGACAGAATTGACAAACTTGCTTTCAACCCTTCGCAGTAGGGATCAGGATTAGGTAAGCAAAACTTAGCGCCAGGGTCCCATATGATCCAGGGAGGGTTCGAGATTAGGTAAGCAAAACTTAGCGCCAGGGTCCCGATCTCACCTTCCCCATTCACACAACTTAGATTGCGGAATAATTATTCAACGCAACAAAGAATGCGGAATGTTTAAGGGACAACATTGAAGAATTGAAAACTTGCTTGGCAATACTGTTTATAGAAGGAAATTGAATTTTGAAATTGAATGAGAAGTTAATGAATATTACCTTTGAAATTGAAATTAAATAAAAAGATAAAAATAAATACAAATATAAAGTTATTTAGCGCATGTAGGAAAGAACACTACTAAGATCTGAAAACCCCTACAGGTGCACTCTTGAGTGCCTTACTTAATTTTTGGAAATGTTTGTTTGCTATGTATGTTGTATATTGCATATTGCATGACCATTGTTATATTTCAGTTATATACTAGCTATTATCCCCAAGACCTGAAAATCCCTACAGGTGCACTCTAGAGTGCCTTACTTAATGTTTTTGGAAATGTTTGTTTCGTATGTATATTGTATATTGCATATTGCATGGCCATTGTTATATTTATTTCAGTTAAATACTACGTATTATCCCCAAGACCTGAAAATCCCTACAGATGCACTCGAGAGTGCTTGGCGTATTTATTTTTGTATACGCCCTTTTTGTAATGCATTTTGTGTATTTCATGGCCATTATTGTTATATTTCAGAGTTCTATACTTATATACTAAGACCTGAAAATCCCTACAGGTGCACTCTAGAGTGCCTTACTTGATTATTTTGTATATGCTTATTTTGTATGTATATTGTATATTGCATTATATTTCATATGTACTTATATACTAGGTCTTATCCCTAACACCTGCAAATCCGTACATTGCACTCGACTACTTAATTATTTTGATATATGCTTATTTTGTATTTAGTTGTTTTCTATATCGCATGGTCACTCATATATTTTGGTTATATACTTATATACTAGGTCTTATCCCTAACACCTGCAAATCCGTACATTTCACTCGACAAATTAATTATTTTGATATATGCTTATTTTGTATTTAGTTGTTTTCTATATCGCATGGTCATTATCATATTTCACAAATGACTTATAAATAATATATCGATAAGATATAATAAAAAAAAAATCCTACCTTTTCAGCATCTTCATTCACTTATCTTTTGTATTATAAGGAGAATTCTTGGACTGCTTTTTTATCCAAGCTGGAGTAAGGCTTGTAGTAATATGACGATAATATGACCTGAAAATAATATTCAAGGTTAGAGTTTATTGAAAATTTATATATATATATATATATATATATATATATGTATGTATGTATTTGTATATTTGTTTTGTATATTGCATGGCCATTATTATATTTCAGTTATATACTAATAAACTAAGACCTGAATATCCGTACATTTGCATTCGAGAGTGCCTCACTTTATTATTTTTGTGTATGCTTATTTTGTTAGTTTATATAGTTATATTGCATATTGCATATTTATTATTATTATATTTCAGTTCTATACTTATATACTAGGTATAGTTATGTTAAGATTATTATATATAGTATATACTTATATACTATGTATAGTTATGTATACTTATATACTAGGTATTAGTTCAGTTAAGACCTAAATATTAATGCATTGTACTTACTTAATTACTTTCGTATACGCTTGTTTGGTATGCATTTTGTACATTTCATTATTATAATATTTCCGTTCAATACTTATACACTAGATGCTATCCCTAAGACCTGAATATCCGTACATTTGCACTCAGGCGTGCTTACTTAATTATACGCTTATATTTTGTACGCATTTTGTATATTGCATGTTCATTATTATCATATTTCAGCTCAGTATACTTAATTACTAGATGCTATCCCTAAGACCTGAATATCAGTACATTTGCACTCAGGCGTGCTTTACTTAATTATACGCTTTATATTTTTACGCATTTTGTATATTGCATGTTCATTATTATCATATTTCAGTTCAGTATACTTAATTACTAGATGTTATCTCTAAGACCTGAATATCCGTACATTTGCATTCGAGGAGTGTATCACTTATTATTTTTGTTTGTATGCTTATTTGTTAGTTTTATATAGTTATATATTGCATATTCTAGTGCATATGATATTTATATTATTATATTTCAGTTTCTATACTTATATACTAAGACCTGAAAAAATCCCTAAAAACAGGTGCACTCGAGAGTGCCATGTTTTTGTATAATTGCATGGCCATTATCATTATAATTATACATGTATATGCGTATCTTGTATGTATATTGTATTTTGCATGGCCATTATTATTATATTTCAGAGTTCTATACTTATATACTAAGACCTGAAAATCCCTACAGGTGCACTCGAGAGTGCCATTTTGTATATTGCATGGCCATTATCATTATATTTCAGAGTTCTATACTTATATACTAAGACCTGAAAATCCCTACAGGTGCACTCGAGAGTGCCATTTTGTATATTGCATGGCCATTATCATTATAATTATACATGTATATGCGTATCTGTATGTATATTGTATTTTGCATGGTCATTATTATTATATTTCAGAGTTCTATACTTATATACTAAGACCTGAAAATCCCTACAGGTGCACTCGAGAGTGCCATTTTGTATATTGCATGGCCATTATCATTATAATTATACATGTATATGCGTATCTTGTATGTATATTGTATTTTGCATGGCCATTATTATTATATTTCAGAGTTCTATACTTATATACTAAGACCTGAAAATCCCTACAGGTGCACTCTAGAGTGCCTTGAAAATGAAAATTAAAAATAAAAATTGAAAATTGAATATTGAAATTTGAACTTCATTCACTATTCACCATTTGCTATTTATTATCATGATTGAAAAGGACAGAATTGACAAACTTGCTTTCAACCCTTCGCAGTAGGGATCAGGATTAGGTAAGCAAAACTTAGCGCCAGGGTCCCATATGATCCAGGGAGGGTTCGAGATTAGGTAAGCAAAACTTAGCGCCAGGGTCCCGATCTCACCTTCCCCATTCACACAACTTAGATTGCGGAATAATTATTCAACGCAACAAAAGAATGCGGAATGTTTAAGGGACAACATTGAAGAATTGAAAACTTGCTTGGCAATACTGTTTATAGAAGGAAATTGAATTTTGAAATTGAATGAGAAGTTAATGAATATTACATTTGAAATTGAAATTAAATAAAAGATAAAAATAAATACAAATATAAAGTTATTTAGCGCATGTAGGAAAGAACACTACTAAGATCTGAAAACCCCTACAGGTGCACTCTTGAGTGCCTTACTTATTTTTTGGAAATGTTTGTTTGCTATGTATGTTGTATATTGCATATTGCATGACCATTGTTATATTTCAGTTATATACTAGCTATTATCCCCAAGACCTGAAAATCCCTACAGGTGCACTCGAGAGTGCCTTACTAAATTTTTTTGGAAATGTTTGTTTCGTATGTATGTTGTATATTGCATATTGCATGGCCATTGTTATATTTCAGTTATATACTAGCTATTATCCCCAAGACCTGAAAATCCCTACAGGTGCACTCGAGAGTGCTTGGCGTATTTATTTTTGTATACGCCCTTTTTGTAATGCATTTTGTGTATTTCATGGTCATTATTGTTATATTTCAGAGTTCTATACTTATATACTAAGACTTGAAAATCCCTACAGATGCACTCTTAGAGTGCCTTACTTGATTATTTTTGTATATGCTTATTTGTATGTATATTGTATATTGCATTATATTTCATATGTACTTATATACTAGGTCTTATCCCTAACACCAGCAAATCCGTACATTTCTCTCGACTACTTAATTATTTTGATATATGCTTATTTTATTTAGTTGTTTTCTATATCGCATGGTCATTATCAATACTTTCTACGAATGACTTAATAAATAATATATGACGATAAGATATATAAAAAAAAAATCCTACCTTTGCAGCATCTTCATTCACTTATCTTTTGTATTATAAGGAGAATTCTTAGACTGCTTTTTTATCCAAGCTGGAGTAAGGCTTGTAGTAATATGACGATAATATGACCTGAAAATAATATTCAAGGTTAGAGTTTATTGAAAATTTATATATATATATATATATATATATATATATTATATATATGCATGTATTTGTATATTTGTTTTGTATATTGCATGGCCATTATTATATTTCAGTTATATACTAATAAAACTAAGACCTGAATATCCGTATATTTGCATTCGAGAGTGCCTCACTTTATTATTTTTGTGTATGCTTATTTTGTTAGTTTATATAGTTATATCGCATATTGCATATTGCATATTTATTATTATTATATTTCAGTTCTATACTTATATACTAGGTATAGTTATGTTAAGATTATATATATAGTATATACTTATATACTAGGTATAGTTATGTCTATACTTATATACTAGGTATTAGTTCAGTTAAGACCTAAATATTAATGCATTTGTACTTACTTAATTACTTTCGTATACGCTTGTTTGGTATGCATTTTGTACATTTCATTATTATAATATTTCCGTTC